AGATTTACCTTTAAACCTTCCCCAGGCAGATTCGAGTAAAGCATGTAATGAAAAACCCAAGTACAAGAGTGATGAGCAACATAAACCAGTCTCTAAAGTCGTTAAGAAGAGGGGCTCCTCCCTTGCTTCTTCATCATGAAGATAGCATCTTAGAACATTAGGGGTATGAATCCACCCCTCAAACATAATGGGATTCGGGAGTTCCTAAAGCCCCATAGCATTGATGTCATGGATATTTTGGAAACGAAGGTGGACGACCGTAAGTTGATGAGAATTTTGAGGAACAAGTTCAATGGCTTTTTGCATGCAAACAACTTTGGTACTCATAAAGGTGGACGTATATTGATTTTGTGGAATCCATCCAAAGTCATTTTGGATGTGATGGAGGTTCATCCACAAATCATACATTGCAAAGCTACATGCAAGGTAACTTCTCTTGATTTTCTTGTTAGTTTTGTATATGGGTTTCATACCATGGTAAACCGAAGACCCCTTTGGAATACCGTAATGGAGCTTAATGAAAATGTTTCTTTACCTTGGTTGATTGTGGGAGATTTCAATAATGTGCTCAAGTTCGATGAGAGATGCAATGGGTCGGATGTGACCCCGTACGAAATCAAAGATCTCGCATCTTGTTGCCTCAATGTGGGTCTCTTGGATGTCCGGTCTATTGGTTGTTTTTACACATGGACGAATGGGACGAGGTGGAGTAAAATTAACAGGGCTATGGTGAATGATGTGTGGATACAAAAAGGGGTTGTTGTGGAAGCAAATTTCCTCCCTTCCGGATGTCTATCCGATCATTCCCGTGCATTGTATCTTTTCTTGATAGTGGGGGAAGTGGAAAAAGTCCCTTTAAGTTTTTTAACATGTGGACCAAGCATGTGGATTTTAATGACTTGGTTATTGATTGCTGGAATTCTCACTTCCGAGGGAATAAACAATTCATTCTTTGCAAGAAGTTGAGCAAATTGAAGGGGGCTTTGAAAGTTCTTAATTCCAAACATTTTGGGCACATTTCTACTAGAGCTTCAGAGGCAAAATCTGAGTTACTTGCTGCCCAATTACAACTACAAAATCAGCCTACTAATGCTGTTTTTCAGAATTTGGTGGCTAATATGAGGAAAAAGACCGTTGCATTGTGTGAAGCCGAACGTAGTTTTTACTACCAAAAGGCTAAATGTATTTTCCTCAAGGACAGTGACAAATGTACTAAATTCTTTCACTCCATTGTCAAAAGGAACTCAAAGAGAAATTTCGTTGCTTCAATTCTTAAGGCTGACGGGAGTTATTCTACATCACAAGAGGAAGTGGCCACCGAATTTGTAAATTTTTACACCAACTTGCTGGGGGGGAAAAGAGGCTGTTCGGCCTATTGATGTCAACATCCTTGCAAATGGTCCTTTGGTATCTTCGGAACAAGGGAATGATTTGATTCGGGATATCTCCTTCAATGAAATAAAGGAGGCTCTTTTTGGGATTGGAGATGATAAATCTCCCGGACCGGATGGGTATTGCTGGAATTCTCACTTCCGAGGGACTAAACAATTCATTCTTTGCAAGAAGTTGAGCAAATTGAAGGGGGCTTTGAAAATTCTTAATTCCAAGCATTTTGGCATATTTCTAGTAGAGCATCCGAGGCAAAATGTGAGTTAGTTGCTGCCCAATTACAACTCCAAAATCAGCCTACTAATGCTGTTTTTCAGAATTTGGTAGTTAATATGAGGAAGAGAACCGTTGCATTATGTGAAGCCGAACGTAGTTTTTACTACCAAAAGGCTAAATGTATATTCCTCAAGGATAGTGACAAATGTACTAAATTCTTTCACTCCATTGTCAAAAGAAACTCGAAGAGAAATTTCATTGCCTCAATTCTTAAGGGCGACGGGAGTTATTCCACATCACAAGAGGAAGTGGCCACCGAATTTGTGTAATTTTACACTGACTTGCTGGGGAAAAAAGAGGTCGTTCAGCCTATTGAATTCAACATCCCTTCAAATGGTCCTTTGGTATCTTCGGAACAAGGGAATGATTTGATTCGGGACATCTCCTTCGATGAAATAAAGGAGGCTCTTTTTGGGATTGGAGATGATAAATCTCCCGGACCGGATGGGTACACTTCATGTTTCTTCAAGAATGCTTGGGGGTGTATTGAACGGGATTTTGTGGATGCTATTTTGGAATTCTTCTCATCGGGATCTATTCTCAAGCAAATGAACCATGCAGTTATTGCTTTGGTGCCAAAATCTACTCACGCACCTTGTGTGGGGGACTATAGACCGATTTCTTGTTGTAATGTCACATATAAGGTGATTGCAAAAATCCTTGCATCGAGGTTGAGGC